TAAATTATACTAATTCATTGCTATGTACAAAATTAACGCTTTCGATCTATATACAATTATTTGTTTAAATAAATTATTAATTGTTTATTTATTGATAACAGTAATAACTAAGCTGTTATCAATGAAATGAATTCTTACTCATATTTCTCTATATTGGTTTTAGAGTATTCGCTCTATTACAATAATTAATATTTACAAAGTAATAAACAAATTAAATTTTTACATTAAAATTTAATATAATTTAGTAGTTGAAAGTAATTAAAATTATTATAATCTAAATCTATGCCCTAAAATCTATATAAAAAATGCTTTGTTACATTGAAATTACTCTTAATTAACATATTTTAATTTAACAATAAAAACTATTATATCTGTATCTATAAGTAGATAACGTCACGCCCTTATATGGTCATGAAATTTAACTCTAGTACTAATACAATCATATAATATATGAGGTGGCGCCGTTTAATATGCTAATTGATATAAGTAGATTGACGAGTTTAGCGGGTTTCGGTAATCCAGTGAAAATAAGAGAAGAGCTCATAGATAGGACCGTTACAACATCGAACCCAAGGAAGATGGAAGGCCGATGCAGACAAACTGATAAGAATTTGAAAAATGGGATGAAAGGTACTGAATACTGCAATCAAGGACAGTAAAAGACGCTGCTGGATACAATTGTGCGATGAAGTGAACAGAGTCTTCTAGAGACTTGACTACAAAATTGTAACTATGAAGCTAGAGAGACTCGATCCCGCAGAGCAAAAAGACTCAATGAAAACGATAGTCGACGGACTTTTTCCAAATCATCCGGTGAAGGATGAATTCCAGACGATCAAGACAAGTCTGTACAGGAATTGACCGAAGCAAAACTCCTTCACGCGGTGTCTTCACTAAAACCCAGAAAATCTCTCGGCCCGGTCGGCATTCCGGGGAGATTCTCAAACAGATCCTGAACGTGCCCCAGGCATTCTCCTGGATAAATACAATGCAAGTTTGCGAGAAGACATCTTCTCCACGTAATGGAAGACGGGTAGGCTTGTTCTCCCGCATAAGAGAAAAGATAAACCGAATGCGTCGGAAAGAGTCTTAAATGCTTAAGTCTTTTATAAATACTAGGTAAACTACGAGGCGCTCCTGAAACCGAAACTGACAGACGCAATAATGGCAAATGGAGGACTGGCAAACAATCAGCACGGCTTTCGGAAAGGTCGTTCGACGATTGAAGTGATAAGATATGTGACCGACATCTACGAGATATACATCTCGTACCTGCAGAGAAAGAGTATCTTCTACGGATCGAGAATTCTATTATTTCTATCGACACTGAATATACAAAACACCTCCGCCGGGTAGATGGCTATCCTAAAGGCCTTACAAGACTTCGGAACTCCATTCTACCTATTGAAATAGTCGATAAATATATTTTGAATATTTACAATAAGACGATCAATATATATATATATATATGTATAGCTATTGATCGCTACTAGTTGAACGATTTTGTTTATATTCCAATTCTCCGCAGTAAGCTCTGAGCTCTCGTATAAGCCACAGTACGTGAATGCTGAGTCTGTATTCTTACGACTGTACTTGTTTATAATATATATTCTTTCAATTAAGATTATTCACAGTTTTACTTCTTTTCTACCTTTCTTTCATCATTAGACATTGTAACTATGTTTCAACAACACTATCTCATGCGGATGTTCGGGGATTACTTACGAAACAGATAGCTTTCATACGAAAATGTAGTGATAACCGTGCGTTACGCAGAATTCGCCCGACTGTTACCTAACCAAACGATGAGATGGACCAACTAATTGACGATCCAGCGCAGACTGATACACATCGTGGTCAAGACGGAACTGATCCTGTAGACGGGGAGGAGGATCGAAATCTCATCCCAATGTCCGTAGAGGAAGCACATACCATGTCCAGAGATAAGATAAAGTTTCTAGGGGTAAACCCAGATATAAAATCGACTTTGTGGTCACACATACAAGCTATGGAGGGGGGGGGGGACATATAAGACAGAGAGAGTTTTCTTTCTCAGTGTCCTGGCGAATACGTGCAAACCAAGCCAATGGAAGAGACGACTTCTTATGGCGACAACCCACTCGATTTTGTTATACGGCTCGGGGGTTTGGGCTGACGCGTTAGAGATCAAGAAACACCGAGTATGATCAACGAACGTACAGAGACAGGGGCATTGAGAGTTGCGAGCGCATACAGGACAGTTTCAGCTGCAGCTGCTCTGGTAATGGCAGGAGTGATTCCAATAAACTTGCTCCCTAAAAACATAAATGAATATACGAATGGAATACAGACATAACCAGAGCAGACGCTGCGACAGGGGAACGAGACAGAACAATGACAGAATGGAACAAACGATGGATCGGGACATTGACTGGGAAATGGATAAAAGTACTAATTAGTACTAATAATAGACTGAAACTGTGGATGGACAGGGAATTTGGGAAGTTAAAATTATACCTCAACTAGTTTCTTAACGGTCACGGATACTTTAGATACTACTTACTCAAAAATAATAAGGTAGACAGTCCAGTATGCAAGATGTGTGGATACGACAAGGACGACGCACAGCATACATTTTATAAGTGCAGACATTGGGACAAATACAAACGAAAAATAGAAGAGAAGATAGGAAACATCATACTTGAAAATATAGTGGCGAGGATGCTATAGAGTAAAGAAAACTGGCAGGCGATGGCGACGTACATCGAGGTCGACTTGAGAGGTGAGAAAGCGGAAGGATGCTTGAAATCCGAGTAAATGAACGAAAAACGAAAGATTAATTGATGGATTGGAAAATATTTATTTGCCATATCCAACAAAATAATAGTAATTACACATTACATCTATACATTATCTTTTTCCTTGTTCAATCAAGGTACCTATTATAAAATATAAAATTATAAAAATATATAAATTTATGGATGCATATAGATTTTTCTCATTTAATTGAAAGTCACAGCTTTAGTGTATTGTAATATTAACAGCAATAATAATAATTGACATAGTTTGTGAGGCTAGATATCAGATCAAGACCAGTAGGAATTGCTTAAGTCCAGCAATGTAGTTAGAGAGAATTTATAGAGACTATTTTGTCAGTCTCAACAGGTTACAGAATAACTTCAGCAGCGCCTACGCATCTAATTTCAAAAAGTATGCATGCGCCCCACTTTTAAAGCCCCAAGCGACAGGACATATCTCAGAGGCTTAGGTAAAAAGTTCCAGAGACGGGTACCCATAATCTAAAAAGATCAGTTGGCCATCTCTGTCCTCGTCTCTGTAACACTCAGCTTCGCCCGGCCTAAAAAGAGAGAGGAAGAGAGAGTGAGTGAGAAAGGGACAAAGAGAGAGAACGTATGAACAAATGAGATGAACAGAAATTTTACTAACCAGAGTGGCACTCCTCTGGTATTTAATTAATTGTTAATTAAAATTTAGAAGTACCTGGCGTCCAACTACAATAAAATTATGATCCACTTGATACGCCGCGCTATAATTTATTTAATTGAATTTTTAAGCGATTCCAGTAATGTCATGTTAGTTAAAATCTTAACTATTTTCATTTATTATAAATTATCCCATCTAATACTATCGCGATTTGGTCGGAAAAACACGATATATAATTGATAACTTTGTGAAAAAATCAGTTATTAACATGTCAAATTCTTGCTGCTCTTTCTTAAAATGGTAATTTTGCTCTGTGATATTTAAATTCATGTTGCATTTATTTATTGCAAATTTGTACACGATTTATCCTTGTAAATTGAATCCCCTAAGTATTATTTAATTAATATTCATAACAATTTTAGATTCAAGATCCGCGCATCCAAATCAACTGAGAAAGTGCTTTTGAACATTGAAAAAGCTTGAAATTATATATTTTGCGTCGTAAACAATGAATTTAGAATAGATGTGACGTCATGCTTCATATATGGTTATGAGTTTTATCAAGTGCCCTAAAACATCCAAGGTTATTCATGAGGTAGCGCCTTAGTTTTGATAGTACTTTTCCTCATTTTCGGATGTGTGGCAGGATACCGTTACACAGTAAAAAAAAACACAGATTCGATTTGACTGTTACGCTACCTGACTGTTACATCTAACAATAATCTATAGAGGTATTTGACACTCCTCCTAATTAAAATTTGTTCAGGTACACCGTGGCGTCCAATGTCAAAAGCAGTTCATGAAGAGATAAATTCCTCGAGATTGAGCAACTTTGGCCAGAAACATTTTTTGTTATACCCTACATTTGTTCAGTTATTCGTAAGAAAAGAGTGAATAAGAATAAAAAACTAATTTCTACATTATCTTAAGGAGGTAAACCGAGTTCCACAATACAAAATATCTCATTTGAACGTAGAATAACCGCACTTTCCGACTTCGAGAATAAAAATAAAGATTTCTATTTTTTTTTAATTTAACCTTTACATTACCTTAAAGGTCCCAGGCAATTTCATTCGAACCATTTTTCTAATCTATAATTCAGTATTTTTAATTCTAGAAGAGATGTGTAGTGGTCTAAGCCATCCTGTATAACAATTTTTCATCTTTACATTCTACCATTAAATTTTTATTTTAAATGAAGACAGCATCATTTCAAAATTTGAAAAACTCGTATACGATATTTCTATTTAAATGAAGGAGCATCAGAGATGTCGACTATTATTCACACTTTTGATGCCATCTTATCCACCATCTCGCTAAGTATTCTAGCGATGTTAAAGGTGCTTGAAAAATATAACTGGCTCTCCCGCTTTTCAGATGATTAACTATCATCGTTGGGTACCCAACCAGAAAAACGCTTGTGTTATGCAAAATATGCTTAGTCGCGTGACTAGTGATTATTATTTATATTAACATTCCGTTAATATTGCGACTATAATACAATGTAATAAACTTTTGTTAGATATGTTTGTTGTAACTTTGTTAGTACTAATAGACGTAAAATAAGGTATTTTTACCGTAATAAAGCCATATCCTTTACTTCGTCCTGTTTCAGGGTCCATAATCAATTGAATATTGTCAATTTTACCAAAAGGTTCAAATATACCTTTCAGCATGTCCTCAGTAATATTAAAATGCAAAGAACCAACATATAATCTCATTGGACCACTCAATCCTTTAGGCATCAAATTCGGCATTGAATTTCCCATACGATTTTTTTCGGCTTGAGTGTGCTGCACAACAATAGGAACTCCTAGTAGTCTTTGTCCTGATAAACCAAGAGCCTAAAATTTATAATAGCGAGATTTTATATAGAATTCATATAAATGTGAAAATTCATGTATATATATATATAAGACAAATTAAATTTTATATCTAGGAATTAGTAAATAAACTAGAAATTATTTCTCTGTAACTAAAATTTTTTTTAATTATATTATATTAATATGTGGCGGGGAATTTTGGGGGAGTCTAGGCCGCGCACACAAAATACTTTCGCCACACGGCCTCATTGGATCGGTTTCCCAACTAGTAATAAGGGCGCTAGACCGCGGTTCCTTGGTTACGGCGATAAGATCGTCGGGGATAAGCTCGGACATCGACGCGTAGGACTATCTGCCCAATGTGCGACTACGCAGAGGGGGCAAGTTGTTGCTTCTCACGATAACTTTTCTTCAGGCAGCTCCAACAACCAATAGTTAATTTTCTTCGTCCTTTCCACATCTTAGGAATGCCAGTAGCTCAGGAAGCAACTCCTCGTCTCTGGTCAAGGGTTCGATATAGTTAGCGCGTATGTTATCTAACATTCTGATCTAGTAAAGAAAAATTTTCGCTACAGACCGTCCATGGCTGAAAAAAAATCAGCATGCAGGGATGGGAAGTTAACGAAGAATAAATAATAGATCGGTTACACTTCACTTCACTTTATTTGCTCGCTGAGGTACATCATGGCTCAGAATGTCGGATGGTTAGCGCGATTCGAGGCGATTTAATTCACGGTGGTAATAGAACCACACGACCCGGGGAATCACACAGGAGGAAACGATGCGCCTGTGTAATATATAACCTCCGTCTTGTACGGAAACAAGACGGAGGTTATAGGTTCTGTCTAGATTTTAGGCCGGTAAATAAAGTGACGAAGATTGATGCGTATCCAATGCCGAGCATGGACTAAATCTTGGATAGGTTGCGTGGCGTGGTTCATCTTTAAAAAATCGATTTAAAGTCAGCGTTCTGGCAAATTCCACTCTCGGAATCGAGCAAACAGTGCACAGCTTTTGCAGTACCGGGATTAGGTCTGTGGGAGTTCGAAAAAATGCCGTTCAGTTTGGTGAACGCGCCGGCAACTTTTATGAGAGTCATGGATGCATTTTTCGGACCTGCATACAAACCGCATGTTTTTTGGTATCTTAACGATTTATTGATAGTTAGTGCTGATTTTCATAGTCATGTTGTTTGGTTAGAAAAAGACTTAAATAGGTTAGTAAGTGTAGGCTTAGAGTTTAACCTCGAGAAATCGGACTTCTGCTGTACCGAAATAACGTACTTGGGCTATCGCTTGGACAGCGAGGGTTTGCGACCGGATGACAATAAAGTGCAACCGATTGTAGATTATCCGGCTCCAAGCAACGTAGCTCTGTTGCACCGCTTTCTCAGGATGGTAGGTTGGTATGCTAGGTTTATTGAACACGAAAGTGATATCAAGTCCCTCTGACAAAATTAATTCGTAAAGATTAACCGTGGGAATGGGATGAAGTACAGCAAGTAGCATTTGAAAGGTTGAAACGCGCATTGACTGAGGCGCCTGTTCTTGTGCGCCCGGACTTCGCGCTCCCTTTCTACTTGCATTGCGACGGATCATCTTTTGCAGTTGGTGCGTGCTTACTACAAATATGCGAGGACGGCGAGCATCCAATATGCGACGCCAGTCGAATGCTTAACACTCATGAGCGTAATTACAAAGTTAGTCAGATCGAGTTTCTAGCCGTTCTATTCGCTGTAAAGAAGTTTAGACTGTACATAGAAAGATCACACTTCATTGTAGTTACTGATCATAGCGCGCTTATGAAAATTCTGAATAAAAGAGAACTTACAGGTCGGTTAGAAAGATGGGTACTTGCGTTTCAACAGCATGATTGTGAGATAATACACAGGAAAGGGGTATTACATCATGTGCCAGACGCGCTATTTAGAGAATTTGAGGATGAGTGCCAGGTATGCGCGTTCGAGGATACAAGCATACCTGCGGATACGATAAATGGTATTTGCAACGGATTCAGGACGTATTGTCTAGGCCGAAAAAGTATAGAACTTGGAGAGTAGAAGGTAGCGCGCTCTAAAAGATTATGCAGAATCACTATAATATATATGATCATGAGGATCATGAGGTATATGATCATGTTTCAAGACCTATTCACCAAGTGGGTAGAATTGAAACCGCTTATATCGGCAGACGGGCCTGCTCTGGCCACTGCCTTGGAAGAATTAATTTTATATAGATGGGAGACGCCAGAGTATTTAATTAGTGACAATGCGAAAGCATATAAGAGTGTGGTCTTCCAGGGCATATTGCGGGAGCATGACATTGAGCACCTGCTGTGCCCTGCCTATCACCAGCAGAGCGATCCGGTTGAGCGTGTTAATAAGACACTGAAAACTATGATCGCAATATTTGTTGACAAAGACCATAGAAGCTAGGACCGTTACTTGCACGAGTTTAGACACGCATTAAATACCGCGACGCAGTCGTCTATGAAAGTATTGCCGGCGTTTTTAAACTTTGGTAGGGATCCTCAGCCGGTTAAAAGTCTTAGGAGAGAGTTAGAAAAGAAACTGCCTATTACGAAAATTGATACGCAAGCGTGGACGGACTGTTTAATTCGACTCAATGCGCTTAGAGATCTAGTAGCGAAGGCATATTGAGGAAGCTCAGGAAAAACAGAAGCGGCAATATGACCAAGGCAGGAAGCAAGTACTTTTCCAAGTAGGAGACTTAGTCTAGCGGAAAGTTCATATGTTCTCTAACGCTGCCACGGGTAAGAACGCGAAACTAGACCCTAAATATGACGGTCCGTTCAAAATCGTTAGAGTATTATCACCGGAAGTATAGGATTTGCAGACGGACAGCAAATATTGTAGTACGCGAGTGTATATGTCGGAATTAAAGCGATACCTTGCACCTCGAAAGGTTAAGGGATATTAGTTGAAAACAAGGAGGCATGTAATCTATAGGTGTGATAACTTGGATGTCTGTTATTTTATTTTTAAAGTGTTGGTAGCGCCGATGGATAATAGAACGATAATAGCCGCCGCATCCTTTGAAACCGACCGTTCCGCGCAATAGTCTGTCGCGATCGGCATGAGCGTTCCCAACCGGGAAAAAAGAATTTTTTGTTGAAACAACCGATGGCGCCGGAAGCTGCGGGGTCGAGCCAGGCCAAGGGGCTCGCCGCTTTTCCTTCACAAGAAGAGCAGACGGTCACTCTGGTCGAGGCTCTGCCATAGTTTCCTGGCGTCTCGAACGAAACATTTGATCGTGCCAGTCTCAGGTCGCGAGGAGTGCCGACTCCTCCACCGTTACCGGTGGATCCGGTCCCTTTTGAAACGTCGGGTTTGGAGAGCCTTAAAAAAAGCAGGGCTTCATCCACGACGTTGCGTTTGGCTGCTCCAGTACGTTACTGGGCAGAGGCCGTACGCAAGTGTACGTCCTTCCGCCTGACGTCTCTCGCAATACGTGAGGCGGCGGAGAAATCGCGCGTGGCTTCCACCGCGGAGGACTTATATCAGCCCCCGGTATCACAAGTACCTGTTTAGGATCGTCACCGGATCGGTGACGTATCTCGATCGGTCGCTCCCCAAGGCCAAATTTCGAGAGAATCGCTAGGACGCACGCAAATTCGAGGAGTCGGTCGCGAGAGCACTGTGTTATGTTCCGCGAGTAACAACGGAGTGTTGGAGATCCTCGACGAAGACGGCGATTCGGCGGAGGAGAGTTCACGAGCTCCTGAAGTGCCTCGAGTGGCGCATCAGAGGCACGTGCATGAACCTTTGCCGTGGAAGTCTCTTCGGTTCCAGAGGCTCGATCCGGCCTATCAATTCGTAAGGACTGGTGCACCGGGGGGTTATGCGCCGGCTGGCTACTCAGCTGATGAGCGAAGGCGAGAGCATGAAGAACGCGTTACCACAGGACGGAGGCGACGGCGGTTCTTTTACGGTGTATGGACCACGTGTTTGCCCTTGTAATTAACCCTTGTAAAATTTAGTCGTCGTTATTAAGCTAAAACTTCAGTTCCGTTCTTATACTAACTTAGAATTAAATTAATCATAAGCTTATTAAGTTATTGAATAAATTATTTATTAATGCGTCAAGCCAAGTCGTAAGTCTTTACCGAAAGGGTGAGAGAGACTTGAGGTTAGAATAAGGCCTTGTTGTCCTGAGAAGAACTTCGGCCTTCGGAGGGGCTGTAACGGTGTAGGTTGATCATGGCCTGCACCGTGCGTCCCTTCTCTCTCTCCGACATCAGCAAGGGCTCATGATGGGCATCTGGCGCACGTATGTTTTTCGTGCCTGATGCCAGACTTTTGTTTCAGCATCGGTTTTTCTCTTCATCAAGAAAGAAAGAGGAAGCAGCAGCAGTATTAGTGGGCAGGATCACGTAACAACATGCGCTCTCGTCAGTCACCGAAAATGAGAGAGAGAGAGAGAAAGAGAGAGAGTGCAGCTATATTGCGGCTGGGCGCGCGACACTGGCCACACTTGGCGGTGCCGCGTGCCGCCGATGAGGTAAGTGAGTGGTAGGGAGGGCGTGAGAAGCAGTCTCTCACGCACTATTGCGTCGTTTCTCGCGAGCATTGAGGAAGTGACTTCGCGAGTGAGAGTATACCAGCCTAACGCACCCGCACAGTATTTTTCGAGGTAGCAGCCTTTGTCCACCAGTCACGCCATATCTCACGGAGTCACCAGCCGGCAGAAAAGCAACATCAACGTGCCAGCCCAGCGGACTTCGCCAATTATACAAGTCATCCTCTCTCCTCTCGGTTCTCTTTCTTAATCAGTACAACCCTTTTTGGCTATTCACGACTTGTGCGCTGTGCCAGGCTCTCGCGGGCCGGTACGGCTGAACTAGTGGTTAAGTTTTCTTTTATTTATTGTGTATTCAGTAGGTGATGAGATGGCAAGGCGCTCGAGTGCCGGGTATCTCATTTAGTTGATAAGTAGTTATGTGTATTAGGTTAAGGTTTGATAAAGTGTTTTAGTTGTCATCGCTCGAGATAGCGATTTTAT